CTCCGACGCTGGCCTGGCGCAGCGTCCAAGAACTGGCTACCTGCCAGACCACCCCCAACCCCACCCGAAGACCCGAATTTCGGGTTGGGGGGGGGGGCGGGTTCCATATGCGTTTTTTCGATGCTCCCGGACCCCCCCACACTGGAAATGGAGGGCAAATTGAGGCCTTCGGGTTGGGTTGGGGTGGATTGGCGGGTGGTGAAGAACCCGACGGCGCGAAACCAGACAGGCGCGTTCCACTGCTCGCAAAGCAACTCTTCGCCGATGGCCCGGATCCGCCATGGGGGAGCTGCGATAAGCTACGTCGCGAAGCAGACATGTGCTTTTCGGGCGTCTGCGAGTAGGCACCTTGCGAGTAGTGGAACGCGCCCGGTGAAACAGTGGCAACCTCCAGAAAAACCACGATCGGAGCCCCGGGCCTCCTCTTTCGGCGTCGTTTTTCGATCTGGATCCTGGGGGAACGAAGAGCGACAGACGCATAAAAGCTCGGAGGTCCGCGCCGATCTCTCGGACCTGCGGTGGCCCCCCCTGGCGGCGCCTCCGGCGCCGCCCCTGGCGCGCTCCGCGCGCCAGGGGGGAGGGGTCCAGCGCAGATCCGAGAAATACGCGCGGACCTCCGAGTTGTTATGTTTATTCCCTACCTAGGCTCTGCCTAGAAGGGTTCTAACTCGGTTTGCTTAAAGGGCCGGGCAGTGGGGCACGCCCCGGGCGGTTCCCCCGGCATCCGCCCCGCGGTTCCCCCAGTCCCCTGGGAGCTTTAGCTTTAGCTTTAGCTTCAGCTTAGCTTTAGCTTAGCTTTAGCTTAGCTTTAGTTTAGATTTCGCTTAGCTTTAGCTTAGCTCTAGCTTAGTTTTAGTTTAGTTGTAGCTTAGCTTTCGCTTAGCTTTCGCTTAGCTGTAGCTTAGCTTTAGCTTAGCTGTTGCTTACATGTAGCTTAAATGTAGCTTAGCTTCAGATTTGATTTAGTTTAGCTTTAGCTTAGCTTCAGCTTAGCTTTAGCTTAGATTTAGCTTAGATTTAGCTTAGCTTTAGCTTAGCTTTAGCTTAGTTTTAGCTTAGCTTTAATTCAGCTGTAGCTTAGCTTTAGCTTAGAATTAACTTAGATTTAGCTTAGCGTTAGCTTAGCTTTAGCTTAGCTTTAGTTTAGTTGTAGCTTAGCATTCGCTTAGCTGTAGCTTAGCTTTAGCTTAGCTTTAGCTTAGTTTTAGCTTAGCTTTAGTTTAACTTTAGTTAGCTTTATGTTAGCTTGAGGTTAGCTACTGATGAGCTTTAGCTTAGCTTTAGCTTAGCTTCAGATTAGCTTCAGCTTAGATGTAGCCTAGCTTTAGCTTAGCTGTAGCTTAGCTTCAGTTTAGTTGTAGCTTAGTTTTGGCTTAGTGTTAGCTTAGCTTTAGCTCAGCTTTAGCTTAGCTTTAGCTTAGCTTTAGCTTAGCTTTAGCTTAGCTTTACTGTTACTGCTACTGCTGTTTTCCTAGGGGCGCCAACTCCTAGGTAGGGTCGCACTGGGATAATGTCATTTGTTGTTCCCCTAGAGGAGGAGGAGGAGGAGGAGGAGGAGGAGGAGGAGGAGGAGGAGGAGGACGAGCTTCTGTGCTCCTGTCACTGCTCGTTCCCCCAGGAGATCGATCGGTGCGGCTCCGGGAGCTCAAAAATGGGGCGAAGACGCCCGGCGTGGACAAAAAAATGCAGCGCGCCAGGCTCTCGGGGAGCGGCGTGCGCCGCGCGGGTCTGGCGCACGCTGCGCGCCGCCCATAGCGGTGCGGTCGCCAGACCACGAGTGGGCCCCCCAGGTATGAACCTTGATCCCGGACCATTTGGCCAATGAGATCCGCCTAGGCCACCTAGGCGATCCAGGGATCTATGTTATCTGGGGGGGGGGGAGAGGGAGAGGAGAAGGAGGGAGGAGGAGGAGGAGGAGGAGGAGGAGGAGGAGGAGGAAAAAAATGGGAAGGAGGAGGTGGATTAGGTGGGGGAGGAGGGTGGGTTAGTCGGAGGAGGAAGGGAAGGAGGAGGAGTAGGAGGAGGAAGACGACGACGACGATGACATCGGAGGAGTAGGAGCATTCTTGGGACATCAAGACCTGGGGTTGCTTAGATGTGTGGGCCACTTTGAAGATCTGCCGGGCTCCTCTGTGCCGCTCTGAAGCCCGATGCGTTACAGTCGGATTTTATTAGTAGGTCGACCCTGCCAGATGAAGGGTGCCCTTGTGTCCTGTCTATCCCGTCCCACGTCCTCTGCGCGTCTTCTGGTTGTTCAGGGCCGCGTTGTCCTCGGAAGAGTCTTGTGTCCTCTCGGGTGTCCTGTCCAATCAACTTCGACTGTATGCTTGCCAGCATCGTCGTCATCATCGTTACCTCCGTCTCCATTTTGGCTCAAGCGGTTTCTTACTACTGGGAACAACATCCTCGATGCATTTTGCAAGTGGTGCGCCATGTCGACCTTTCGCTGTTCAGGGATTCTCGGTGTGGCGCGACTGTTTGCTGCCAGGCATTCTGTGGC